GGTGCTTTAGGGATTTTACGGCGCTAAAGAGGGCGTGTAGGGTAGCTTTACCGTACTTTATGGGATTTTATGGCGCTAAAGGACCTAAAGCGGGCGTTTCCATGAGCTTTACGGTACTTTATGGGATTTTACGACGTGACCCTGCACAGGCTTCCCTCAGTTATGAGTAATATAAATCGCCTGTTTTCGTATTATGTTTGCAGTTCCACCCCCGTGTCAATTTTCAACGGACATCACCTTTCTGGTAGATTCATCCAAAAATATTGGCAAGGGTGAATTTTCCCGACAGATGACCTTCTTAAAGATTTTAACGAAAAGTTTTGGAAACAACAGCCGTTCCGCCGTTGTAACCTACGGAGATAAAGCTTCCATTGTTACCAGCCTTGATCAGTTTCCGAACATACCTGACTTTCTAAAAGCTGTCGCCAACTTGACGCAAGGCAAGGACGGCAGCGGAAAGGGACGATTGGACGAAGCAGTGAATTTAGCTACAAGAGACGTATTTCCAAAATCCCGACCAGGAGTTTCCAAGCTCGCAGTCGTTCTAACTGATGGGAAGCAAACGATTGGACCAAACGCCTTGGAACTCAAACAAGCCTTCGAAACTTCCAGAAAGGCGGGAATTCGCATGGTTCCTGTAGGCGTTGGCAAAAAGATGGATGTTGAGGAATGGGGTAATTTGGTTGAACGTAAACAAGACCTGCTTAAAGTGGATAATTTTCAAGATCTAACCTTGAAAGTCCATGAGATCGCCGCTAGCATTTGTCGTGCAGCAGGTAACAATATGTGCGCATGGATGTAATTCAGTTCACCTTCTCATCTCCTTTTAGGGTAGACATTTAACAAGAATACCGTCAACCGTCAGGAATTGCCAAAACTCTTCAACTTAATGAAAAGAAGTGCTTGGTACGAGACCGGCTGTTGCTTGAATAGAAAAATACTTAATTAACGAACAAAATAAGCAAAAGCTACTTTTAGGATGGGGAATGTTAAGATGCACGTAGCGTAGCAACCGATCAAAAACTCGTTTACCTATGACCTTTGGGTTTACTTCGCACTGATTCAAATTTCAGTAGCAATACTTGTGCGATTGTTTGTATTGGTATTCATTTTGCTCGTCGTTTGTACATGTGTTTTGCGATATTGCAACCAGAAATATCTTTCCAATAATTTCTATGTAATGGTTTATGATCATTTTTCTCACAGAGCCAATCGAGCAACCAACCTGTGGCTACGCGGCTGACCTCACCTTCATTCTGGATTCTTCAGACTCTATTAGCACCGACGACTACCTGAAACAAAAGTCGCTCATAATATCCATCGCAAGGAGCTTTGGAATCTCTCACAATACCAGTAGAGCGGCCGTGGTGCAGTACAGTGATTCGGCATCAGTTCATTTCCAACTGGGAGATTCGTCAAGTACAAGAGAATTTGAGACAGCTGTCCATAAGATGCCCCATAAAAAAGGGCCTGCCAGAATAGAAAAGGCTTTTGACGTAGCTGTTGCAGACGTGTTACCATATGGCAGGACGGGAATACCTCAAATAGCATTCGTCGTAACCAATGGAAAACACGCTCCTAAGGAGGGCGTAAAAGCTCTAGATGTGGCTTCCACGCAGTTAAGGAGGACAGGAGCAAAGGTGATTGCTCTTGGTGTTGGCACAAAAGTTGACTCTAAAGAACTGAGTCTAATGGTGGATGACGAAGAACGAGTTCTTCGGGCTAATTCCTATGACGAGCTAATTTTGGACAGGAAAAACGTCAGCCACAAGATTTGTCAAGAAGCGGGTAAGTTTAAAGACTCGCTTGTACTCAAAATAAATCTATCCACAGAGCTGTAAGAATGAGACCTAATTATGATATCCTTTGGCAAAAGAAAACACGTACTTTCGCCACATATTAATACACTTCTCAACTTCTCGTTTTCTTGTCACGTAACGTATTTTGTCACCTTATGCGCGTACAGTCGAATCTCCCGTAAGCGCTTATTGGAGGTGGTCGCTTTCGCGAGCTTAGACCATAATGGGTCAAAATTGTTCCTCATAAGAATATGGTAACTGGCGAGACTTAACCCATGCGCCAATGCCGATGCAGTGTTTTATTCTTGTAAAAGTCAACTTCGAGAAAGAAATCCGGTTCTTCCCATTGACAAATTTCCGTTTCTTGTACTAGCTTGTTTTTTGTACTATTATCCATTTTTCCCTTCATTATCTATCAAGTGGTCGCTTACGTGAGGTTAAAAACAAAGGAAAAGTTCAAACTTTTAGCTCTAAAAATTGTCGCCGTTGCTTACGAAAGGTGGTCGCTTACAACAGGATCTAAACATAGTGATTTGACTTGGAAACTTTTGGTATTTTGGAAAACTGGTTGCTGAGGAGAGGTGGTTGCTTACGAGAGGTCGTCGCAACCGGAGGTTCCACTGTAACTGTAGATCTATTTATAATGCAAAAACTACCCAACATATTTACTTGACAATGACATCCGACGATGTCGAAACGTCGCTTTTTAATTTCGCTAATTTGTGTGCTGAAATATTCCCTCAAGCCTTATTAAAACAATTAACGACAACACATCACTCTACCCGTCAATTCACCCTATCACTAACCAATAAGGCAAAGAAAACAAAACACGAACACGGCAAATATTCTACACCCAACACAACTTTAGTACCACCTAGACAGTTCTAGCTTGAACGTCATTGCGTGAGTGTTTTATACCGTGGTGTTTTCTTGCAGTTACCCCTCACTCATCCTTGTACATTCAGTGTAAATTCCTCGTGTGGAAAAATAAGATTTTAAAGTTAACGTAGTTCGTGTCTACTTAGAAATTACGTTATGCTGGTTTTAGATAGATAATTTTTCTTTTAACTAACGAGGGTGCTTCTCCTGGTCAAACCCCTGCTCTCTACTCCCTTATTTATACATGTATCAAAAAACATGATTATGTTAAAAAACACAAGCGCCTTTCTGAGCAAGTTCATAATCACGCCTTTTAAAATACATGGAGGCCATAACATCTGTACAAAATAGAGAGATTTACTCTCATGAAAACCAGGTATTCACCTCTTAATAGAAGGGCTTGCACAAGAATGAGCTTTGCTGAGTCTCAAGAAAGTACAACTGCATGACACTAATAGCCTTGAATTTCTGTCTCATTAGCACCACCGCCATGTAGCTCT